GCAGTTCCTCTGCCGTTAACCTCGCTGGTTTCCTCGCATGTGCTGCCTGGTGGCGAAGCCGTGCAGCGTATTTGCCACTATCTATATAGATATCATTATAGAAATTCATTGGACTTACGTTAGATGGCGATCGTGTGCCGGGAAGTACCGCGAAAAGACCGGAAACTGCGTCAGCCGGGAAGTAGTTTTTTTTTTATGTTGTATGTTATTTACTGAAAGTGTCTCTTCTCCATCCATGCCAGTGACTTGAATGACGTTTATTTTGCCATCTCTGTTTGCGTTTACGAATCGCGGTGTTTTCGACGCGACGTGCAGTGACCTGTCAATCAACTGGGGTGGCACCTGGGGTGTCCAATCAGGTTCCAGGGGTGGCCAGTGCTACCCCGGCCACCACTCTAGCTCCGCCCCTGCCAGAGACCCAGCTGAAGGTTTTTGACCCTCCCTGACCCAAATATCAGTGACCTAAAACATAAAACGAGCTGTGAATGCAAGACGCAGCATTAAGAATTCAATTTATTGCAACTACAGGAGCCAAAGTAGGAAGAACGTATGTGGAGTAAAAAACAGCACTGATACTCTCAGTTTCTGCAGAGTCATTCTCCTTCAGCGTTTCCTCCGGGGTTTAAAATTCACAACTCGTACAGCCTTGTTATCTTTTACTACCACTGAGGATCACTTTACTGTCTGCACTCCAGTGTTTGAGTCAGTGCTGAACGAGTTACTGGTTGCCAGGGTTAATACAGCACTGGGAGTGGTTGCTTCCCAGTCGCAGTGTCTAATTGTTGCGGGTGTCTGTTTCACCGCCCTGCGAGTTATGTAACTTCCACTCTAAAGTCTGGTTTTCCCTCCTGGCCTCACACACTGTAGATAAACTGGAGCTCTGTGGAAACCAGATGGTCAGAGTCGCTGTAAAGGCTCCAACGCCCCCTTTAAATAAGATTAACTGGAGTTTTATAGTCAGTAAAATCACCAAAATGAAATCACATTTTACCTAAAGCAGATGAAAAGCACTGGATAATATTAAAGCTTCTATATGTTACTGTTATTAAACTGTTGTTAGCAGCGCCACCACACCGTGTAGCCAAGACACAGCCAGCAGGACAACCCTAGCTTAGCTTAGCTACAGTTAGCTAGCTGGATGCACCTGCCTCGCATCACTCTTGGATAGTAGAAAGCTATCGTTAGCTTTGTACCGCTATATGATTTATTGTTGCCTTAAATCAACATCGTCAGAATACATACACAATGTTGTAAACTGAATATTTTGGCGCTCCGAGGACGCGACCTTGAACTTGATTAATCGATAAATTCTGCATCAGGATGAATCACACTGCTGTATTTTGTCAGTCTGCAGGAATTAAACACATCGCACTCTCCTGCTTTGGTTTCTTCCCGAATGTTGCTGACCTTATCAGAGATAGAGATACGCTGAGAGGTGACAGGTCTGAGCGAGTTCCTGCTGGGACACGACTGCACAGCCTGCTGCCCAGTGAAACCTCCCTCAGGCCGCAGCAGAGAGCTTCATCACACTAACTCACCCTGACGCCAACAATTCAAAATCACCACTGCAGCACCTTCAAAGATTTATGAGGGTTAAGAAGCTTTGAGTTGGTCCCTGAACACACCACGGAATAATCTGTTCACTTGTTGCCTGTGATGATGACTCTCTCCTCTTCCTCCTTCTTCTGCGACAGGAAGTGAAACTGGGCGTGGAGGAGAGTCGGGCTCTGAGGACTCGGATCCAGCTGGCCGAGGCGGCTCAGAAGCAGGCGAGGGGCATGGAGATGGACTACGAGGAGGTGATCCACCTGCTGGAGGCCGAGATCGCCGAGCTGAAGACCCAGAGAGTGGAGCAACCGGCGCCGACCAATAAGGTGACTTTGTCTTCAGTTTAAAGGTTCCACATGTGCAGTGTCAACAGTGTGCAACACAAGCTACATTAGCTTATACACGGTGTCTAACCAAAGTCCAAATTCAAAGCTAACATTACTGCAAAGCTAATGCAGACAAACCTAGCTAATATAGCAAAATCCTGTTTCACCCAGACTCCTGGGATGTCATTATGTTGGCTGGTTAATCCTAGCTTGCTCATTCGCTAACGTTATCACTAGCACTTTCTGAGTGGATATGTAACTTGACCCATGATACTAACTTGTGTATTCTTTAGCCAACAATAACTGGCGTAATGATACAAAGCTAACGGTGGTTGTCGTCCCAGGAGGACACGGAGGAGCTGAAGAAGAGAGTTGCTGTCCTGGAGTGTCAACTACGGAAGAGCGAAGCGGCCAAAAAGGGTTTTGAGACGTCAACAGGAAAACTGCTGAGTTTTGTGGAGGTAAAACCAGCGGATCAATGAACGTATCTACTAACGAGAGTTCATCAAAGACTGATATTACGATCTGTCTTTAAAGCAGAGTCACACTGGAGCAACGGACAGCAAACAGACCAACAAAACCACATTATACACAAATACTGACGACACAAACACTAATAATTAAGATTATAAAATATATGTGAGGAATGTCGGGAGGACGTTGAAACAACTTCAGGTGTCGCTGAGACACGTGACCTCCTCTCCAGCTGTA